TATTGTGCAAGATTTGGTAAGAGGTTTACCTGTACTTAAGTTTGATGATGATTCCTTATGTGCAGCTTGTGAAGTTGGCAAGCAACATAAACAAGGTCATCCGATCACAATTAATTTAAAAATTGTCGAACCACTGGAGCTTTTACATATTGATTTATGTGGTCCTTCGACTGTTTCAACTCTCAACAACAAACACTATATCTTAGTTATTGTTGATGATTTTTCCAGATTCACATGGGTTTATTTTCTCAGATTAAAATCCGAACTGGCACACATCATGATCGACTTTATCAAGAAAATAGAAATAACATTGAAAAAGCTTGCTCGCAAAATCAAGAGTGATCATGGAACTAAGTTTAAGAACAATGTTCTTGATTCATTTCTAGTGGAAAAAGGCATTTCGCATAATTTCTCTTCACCATACACTCTACAACAGAATGGTATTGTTGAACGACGAAATCGATCTTTATGTGAACCTGCAAGGACTATGTTGGTATATGTGAACTTACCACAATATCTTTGGGATGAGGCTGCATCCACTTCGTGTTTTACACAAAATAGATATTTCATTCATCGACGTTTTAATATTACACCTTACGAAATTATAATAATCGGAAACCTAATGTGAAATTCTTTCATGTCTTCGGATGCAGATGTTCTATTACGAATCTCAAGGATAATCTTTTGTAATTTCAACCTAAAGCTGATGAACGGATTTTCCTGGGGTACTCGCATAATTCTGTGGCATATCGTGTATTGAACAAACGTACACGAAAAGTGGAAGAAACTTTTAATCTTATGTTTGATGATTATTATATCAAACAATCACAACAAGTTCAACATCTTCCAACTTTAAAAGAATATCAAGATGAATGTGAACCAATGCAAATGTTGGATATTGATTATGATTTGACATTTGGACTTTCAGATCATGCTAGAAATGTTGAAGAAAACCTCCTGATAATCATATTCCTGAACTTTCAAAGCTTACTGATAATTCAACATCATCTCCTCAAGAAATAGGCGAAAGTATGAAAAATGATCCAATGGAGGGGGAGCATTTGGATTCGAACACTCTGATGGATGGGGAGCATTCTTTCGAGGGGGTGAATGAGAGAGATAATGTTGATGTTGAGGGGGAGAGATCAAATGTACACAATAATGAAAATGATCATGATGTTACTGATGATTGTTCAATTGCAGGTTCAGATAATGATGAATTATACAAAGATGCACTTTTTGACTTCGATCCAGCTTATCCTCCAATGGATAAATGGATAAAAGATCATACGAAGGAGCAAATAATTGTTAATCCACAAGAAGGAGTTTTAACAATGGCTCAAATTCATGCAAAGAATGAGGTATTAAATATTCATCAAGAGTTTTGCATGTTCAATGTTTTCATTTCTAAAATTGAAACAAAGACTGTAAGGATTGCAATGGAACACTAAGATTGGGTTGTTGCAATGCAATCTGAATTGTTTGAATTTGAAAGAAATAAGGTTTGGAGATGAATTTCTAAGCAAAATGATGTTTCAATTGTTGGCCAAAGATGGAAATATCATTCGAAACAAAGCCAGACCTGTTGTTAAAAGATACTCTAAACAAGAAGGAATTGATTATGAAGAAACTTTTTCCCTTGTCGCAAGACTCGGGGAAGTTCGTATATTTTTGGCTTATGCAGCTCACAAAGACTTTGATGTTTATCAAATGGATGTGAAGTGATCTTTTCTGAATGGAGAACTCGAAGAAACTGTCTATGTGGAACAACCTCCAGGTTTTGTTAATGAAGAACATCCTGATTATGTTTATATTTTAGATAAGGCAGTTTATGGTTTCTAACAAGCACCACGAGCCTGGTATGCAACTCTTACTTCATTTTTGAAGAAGTCTAAATTTAAATAAGGATTAGTTGACCCCACATTGTTTTGTAAGAAAGTTGGGAGTCATCTTATACTTGTTCAAATTTATGTTGATGATATTATCTTTGGCTCAACTAACCCTGCATCGTCTAAAGAATTCGAAGAGTTGATGAAAAGTAAGTTCGAAATGAGCATGATGGGAAAAATTAATAATTTTCTTGGTCTAAACATTCGTCAAAGCAGAGAAGGAATCTTAATTAATCAATAAATGTATACGAAGAATCTGCTAGAGAAGTTTGGATTAACGAATAGCACAAAGTTACGAGTTCCAATGGCAACTGGGATCAAACTAAATCCTTCGTTAAATAAACCTGCAGTTGATCTTACTTTATATAGAAGCATGATTGGATCTTTACTTTATTTAACTACTATTAGACCTGATATCATGTAGAACAACCTCCAGGTTTTGTTAACGAAGAACATCCTAATTATATTTATATTTTAGATAAGGCAGTTTATGGTTTGAAACAAGCACCACGAGCCTGGTATGCAACTCTTACTTCATTTTTGAAGAAATCTAAATTTAAACAAGGATCAGTTGACCCCACATTATTTTGTAAGAAAGCTGGGAGTCATCTTATGCTTGTTCAAATTTATGTTGATCATATTATCTTTGGCTCAACTGACCCGCATTGTCTAAAGAATTCGAAGACTTGATGAAAAGTAAGTTCGAAATGAGCATGATAGGAAAAATTAATAATTTTCTTGGTCTAAACATTCATCAAAGAAGAGAAGGAATCTTCATTAATCAAGAAATGTATACGAAGAATCTGCTAGAGAAGTTTGGATTAACGAATAGCACAAAGTTACGAGTTCCAATGGCAACTAGGATCAAACTAACTCCTTTGTTAGATAAACTTGCAGTTGATCTTACTTTATATAGAATCATGATTGGATATTTACTTTATTTAACTGCTAGTAGACCTGATATCATGTTTTCTGAATGTAATTGTGCTAGGTATCAAGCAAATCCATGAGAACCACATCTCACTGCTATATAGAATATCTTTCATTATCTCAAATGAACTTCTTCGCTAGGATTTTGGTATCCTTCAAATACAAGGTTCTTTATTCAAGCATACATGGATGCAGATTTGGGAGGTTGTAATCTTGACAAAAAAGCACAAGTGGAGGGTGTCAATTACTTGATGGTAAGTTGGAGCTGGAAATCTAAAAAACAGACATGTGTTTCAATCTCAACGGTTGAAGCTGAATATGTTGTTGCTGCTGCATGCACTTCACAGATAATATGGATTCAAAGTCAATTACGTGATTATGCAATTAACATGAAATATATTCCTTTATATTGTGATTCACAAAGTGCAATAAGAATTTTTCATAATCCTGTGCAACATTCAAAGACGAAACATATAGCTCTTCGTTATCACTTCATTAAAGATCATATGGAGGAAGGAAATATTGAAGTACATTTTGTGAAAACAATGGATTAGTTGGATGATATTTTCACAAAAGCTTTGGATGCAAAATTGTTTGTACAAATTTTGGAAGGGCTGGGAATGATTGATGGAAATTCAGTTCCATGCGAAAAACACAATCAGTGATTACAAGAAAATGACAAAGAAAAATCATTAAGTATTCAGAGGTTATTGTTCACAGTCAACTCTTCGAATGCTTCGAATTCGTATGATTGGTATTTTTAAAACTTTCAATGTTTGCAATGAGTACTTTTAATTGTTTTATTCTTAATTTTTGAAAAATCAAAAAAACTAAAAAGATTTTCTTATTATTTTGTTCTTAATTTTTGAAAAATCAAAAACATCAAAAAGATTTTCTTATTATATTGTTCTTCATTTTTAAAATCAAAAACAACAAAAAGATTTTGTTTTCTTCTTTCTTTTCAAGTATGATGTTGCAGATTTTCATGAAGATACAAAGTCGATAAGGTTTACAGTTCTAGGGTGAGGTACATTTTTCATTCTATTCTTTCAATTTCAAATTTTTGAGTAGTTAGGATATCCCTAGAAGCATGGTGGTACTTGTTGTCCGAAGCCTCAAAATGACTCAATTTTTGAAAGCCTTAATGAAATTTTCATACGATGATTTTTTAACAATTAGGCTTACATTCGCATTAGTCAAATGAGCTACCTTACTCTTCTCAAATGAGTTAAGAGTTTTCTGTTTGGTCCAATATAACAGAGGTACATGATCCTTCATATACCAATCTTTTTCATCTCAAAGTTATTACACCATCACACACGAAGACATATGTCCAAGAGGTTTCTGATCAAACCAATCGAAACTTAGATATATCACAAATCTTTGTTTATGATCAGACGTCATGAGACTGTGATGGATGTGAAACCCAATGTAATCAACCTTTAAGGAATTGATAGGGAACTTAGTTCCAGATTTTAACGAAACAATTGTTTTGTACCTTCCTTCGAAAGTCCAAATCATATTCAATTCTTATGTGTGGTCTTGATCAAACATTCGAAACCCATGATGTTTGTTACCCAACAGGATCCAGAATACAATTTTTCTTTAAAATGATTTCAGTGTGAGTTTTATCTAAAATTCCTTGTTACTTAAAAGTTTTTCAAAGCAAACTTATCACTGACTACACTGGTCAAACAAGTAATTTTTGTTACAATTACTCACCTTATATTTAGGTTGATATGTAACGAAATTCATTAAACCACCTCAAAAGCCTTTTAAAAGAAGCCCTTTGATACATCTATACAAGTATTTGATTGTAATTCACGGGAACATATACAAGCTGTTGACTATCTCTCTTGATAATTAACGAAGCAATCTTTGATCGGGGTTTTATCTACCTTCGTGTCACATTGAATTTTTGACATCACTGAATATACAAAAAAAATTTAATTCTTTCTTATCTTTATTCTTTGACACACTTTACACACACGAAATCTGTTAAAGAATCTACATCAGCAAAGAGTCCAAAGAAAGTACCAATCTCAGAGTCTGAGTCAATCCAACAAGACGTTTTTATTGCTGATACCCCTTCGATTCAAAAAGAAATTATTCCTTCGAAGATGGGAGTTTATCGAAGAATTAAGATGAAGTCTAAGAACAAGAATCTCTCACCTTTGACCAATGTTGTTCGTAAACCGCAAGTTTCGCATCAAGGAGTCATTTTTTGTGAGATTCCTGCTCCTGAAGGACTTAAAGTCAGTTGTGAAGGAGAGACACATTTTGTTCATTCAGGATGTGAAGAAGGTGCAAGAAGATGCCAATTACAAACTCCAAGAACTGCGCCAAGATATGGAGAAAGAGATTGCAAATGTTCGTACTGAATTTGCATCTTTGAATCAAAAGGTGGATATCATGTGCGATCCTGTTACTAAATTCGCAAAGTTGTACGAAAGTTTGAGTCCTCAAATTACTCAAATTTCTATTACTGAGAATAAAAATTTCATTAGGTATTTTCAATGCTAAAGGAGCTTAAAGCTTTATCTTCTGCACCTGCTTTGTCTTCCTTACTATCTTCTGAAGATCTTATAACAAATTTTCCAAATTTGAAGCCTTACTTATTCAGCAGTTGGCTCCTCTTTCTATAATATCAAGCCTTCTTCCTACTACGGATGCCCCGCCTACTAGCACAGGGGTGCAAGGGGGACAAAAAAAAGGTGAAGGTACGAAGGCTAGTGCTGAAGATGTGAAGGTTTTGGGTAAGGTGTTTCCTTCCAAAATCTTAACTTCAAAACCAGTGATAGAAACTTCTGGTCCTATTACTTCTATAATTGCTACAAATGTGGCAATTACAAGACTTATTTCGAAAGGTATTGTGATTGGTAAATCTATTGATTCTGGTAGAAGTGAAGTGATAGAGGAATCATGTTCGAAAACAAGGGGAAAGTCAATTTTAATCGAAAATTCTAAAGAATAGAAAAGGGCAGAGGCTGAGGAAGAAGTAGAGAAAATGGGGATGATACAAAGCATCATGACTCAGAGAGCCAGTGATCCTCCTAGCATGAACAAGGTTGATCCATCAAAGAACTACAACTATGAAACAATTGAAGCCAAGTTTGCATTCAATCACATGTATTCGTTTGAGAAGAAGCCTAAACAGAGTTATATTGTCACGAATACGGATGCAAGCCAGTTGCAGTTTCCAATTAACGAAATGATGTTTATCATGCCTCAGTTCAAAGTTGAAAGTAAATTCAAGGAGAAGGATGAAGGCACACATATGAAGATAAGATTTCATATAGTTCTTGCCAAGCCTGCAGAAGAAGTGTGGTCCTTAATCAAAATCAAAAATGTCATCAGTATAAAGAAGGATGTGGTCTTCGAAAACACAGTCCAAAACATGAGGTATATTGCAACCAGGGAAAATGGAGATGTGTGTGAGTTTATGATAGCAGACTTTCCTTTGATGAACTTGTATGATCTTATACAAGTTGCATTATTGTTAAAGGAAAGATGATTTTCATATCTTCAAAACACTGAGCCTAACGAATACAAGCTGGGAGTTACTCACATCAAAATTTTTATCGAGAATTATTATGAATGTATGGCAATGACAGATGTGGAGTTGGCTATAGCAAAAGTTTTGGAAATTACAACACCCATGGCTTCTTCGAAGACTCAAGTAGAATTGAAGAAATTTGCAGATGGTGAAATATGCTTGAAGCCTTTTGGCTTAGTCTTCTCTGGGAAGGATAAGTCTAGAAAGTCAAAGAGATTTTTGTTCGAGGTAAGTGAAGTTGAAAGATATTCTACTTCACAATATACGAACTTGATTGTTTGTATGAATCATTGCAAGAAGAATAATGAAAGTGACAAGAAGGAGCTGAAGAAGATAATCTCATGGTATAATGAAATATGAAGAGTAATGCTATACTCTATTCAACTGCGTACAAACTGAAGTCTCCGACTTTGTTTACAAAGGGGGAGAATGTAAGGGTTGTTAGGTTGTAAAGAGTCGAAGTCTTATTTGTACTCTTCGTATGTTTTGATATCTATTTTACTAAGGCATTTTATACGAAGCTTTAATGTCTAGTCCTTAGTATATTTTTTGTATGCTTTTGCTCTCCTATAAATAGGAGTCTTTACTAGAGTTAGAGAAGGTCTTTTATAGTCTTTTCTAGTTTTGCTCTGTAAAACCAAAGCGTAATATTGAGTAGAAATGAGATCTTATTTACATTGGTGTTCAATCTTTCATACAAATCTTGATTACTTACTCTGATTAATATTCAAACTCGATTCATAGATTCTACAAACTATCTAAATGGAAGTTGTAGTATACGTTTGTAACAACCCGATACTTTAGGTCAATATAATGTATCACCAGTGAAATGTAGGTCAAAATTTAACCTTCCTAAAAGCTCATTTGGGTTGAATGAAGTTGTAGATACCGTAACAAGGTTTTCGGAACTATAGAGAACACTAAAATCCGAGTTATAACGAAGAATTTATTACCAATCGAAGATCCGCGACAATACTGGTAAGACACTGTTAAGCGTAAAATGTGAAATTCCAATAAAATACTTTTTAGCCTTAGGTATCTAAATGAAAGTCGTAGATGTCCCAAAACCGTGAACATATATAAAAAAAACGCCCAAATCTGGCTTCATATGAGGAAGTTATGATTTTTCGAAGTTTCGGACGTAGAAGTAGACAGGTAAAAATCTAAATAGAGATTGAGCAACTTTTTTCCAACACGACTTAAACGGGAATCGAAGATTTCATCAATAGTATTACAATGGTAAAAAGTCTGACGAAAACGGACATCAGATGAAAAAGTTATGGATTTTTAACAGACTTTTCCTGTCCCGTCCTGTTAAAAATATAATATTAAAAATACATTCAAAATTTGCCGACTAAGTCTAAATGAAAGTTGTAGATGTTGTTTTTACCTACGCGTCAATATATAGAACGTCGAAAATGGAGTTCGTATGCGAAAGTTTTCACTTTCTGAAGTTCAGGGCACATTAGTGGCTCACAAGGTGAACAGATGATGGACGTGTTCCAGCGAAAGTGGCCATGATGAACGCAATGACATATCGAGCTCATGAGGTGAATATTAGAAACTCACGAGGTGAGCCAGTTCACGAGATGAAAATTAGAAGATCACGAGGTGAACCCAGAAAATTCAGCCTATAAATAGAAATCAAGGGTCAGCCGAGTTTGGTTGCTCATCTCTTACTCTCCCACTCCTGATACTCTCTTTAAGCCTTATTTTAACCCCCCGAAGTTCCGATATCATCCCGAGAAACGACGTAAGTCCTGAAGTCCTAAGATTTCCAAGTAATCGACTTCTTTCCAGTCGAAGTGCTGCCCGAGCAAAGCCTCATTTTCATCAAATTGTCACTCCTAACAAGTGATTTCATACCCTATAACAAAGTTTTCAAATGTTTTGTAAATGCTTTTATACACTTTGAAGGGGGGGGGGGGGGGGAATACAAGTAAACACACGGTTAAAATCGTGTGAAACACCAATCTTTTGCTATACTTTTCGTACTATCATTTTAATTATCATATGAAGTTGTTATCATGCAAAACACCTCACAAGACAACTATACCCTCTTGGCATACAATATATTTTATTAATAGAAATATGTTTTATTTATATGTTTGCATACTACATCATATCAAGGGTAACCATTTCAACTATAACATGATGCTTTTACAAGAAAACTCATCTCATCATCACGCCTTTGTAACATGGTAGAAAAGGAAATCATTTCATACAAACATTTTTTCATCATATTACTCGTGAACTTGTTGTTAGCAATCATGTGATGTCATATGGATTTGTTTGTACCAAACGAAAGTCCCCACCTATAACCAGAGTCTCTTAGAGGGAGAGTGTGAAAAGTGTGTATAGATCTATACGGGGCTAACGACTCCGCACCCTGACTGTTAGCTACAGTCCTAGGGGTGACAACTTTCAACATTATGTACTACATCTAGTATGGTTATGAGGAACTCACAACACGCAGAAACAATGACTCATGTGCGTAGTAATACACAACTCAATCATGCTTGGGGGGTAATAGCTATATTCTAGGGTATTATCAGCATGTTCAGAATTTAGGATAAACACTTCCACAAGTAGTTTTATTTTAATACTTAAACTATACATTGTCAGTTTAAGTATGGCATATTTACCTACATTCATGGTCTTGGTTCATTTAAGACTACAACTCACTTTTAGGAAAATATAGGATTTTCCTGGTTCAAACACATTCATTTGGTACAGCAACGATTTACAACGTCATTCTTTTGAGCAGGTCATAGTTGCTTATAGGTTATGGTCTTTGTCATTTGAGACTGCATCACTTTTAGGAAAATATAGGATTATCTTGGTTCAAATACATACAATTTATACAACAAACACTCATACTCATTTCATACACTCATAAGAAAATATCGGATTTTCTAGAAAACGAACATGAACTTTCGAATGGTATACATTTTCTCAAAACACTACTTATGAACTCACTAACTTAAATGTTGACACTTTTTCTTTGAAATAACTTGTATTCTCAGGAAATTGCTAAACCAGGTTAGCTACAACTTTTGAAGACTTACGCTCAGGCGTTAGTTTAATCTTTTGGACATCATATTGTAATTGACTTTTGCAAACATTGTAAAGTTTTCAATTATGTATATGATGGTTGTGTGTACATTCTTTACTATTCATTTGTTATGATACTGTATATGACGTCCTCCGCCCCCGAACGTTTCCTCCGTTCAGGTTTTGGGGTGTGACATATTGGTATCAGAGCATTGTTTATAGTGAACTAAATATATCAAAACCATTTTTGATATACAACTATAAATACAACTGGGCAAAAACACTATGATTAAGAGTTATACTTTTTTTAAATATAATTTTTACAAAAGTATACATGCATACACTACATAACAGGGTCAGTATCATAATAAAAAAACCAACATAGAAGTATAATAGATGAGTTGTGCACTACAGGTATGCCTTGGGATATGTAATCGGCTCCTCCCTCAATTTTGCCTCTCATGTTCACACATATACATATATACGTTCACCAAAAAACCTAAATCACACATCATCTAGCTCTTTCTGTAACAACCAAAACAATTGAATCTGTCCACACCTCTGTCACCATGCTTAACACTACCTGATTCTTGATGTATTTAGAGGAAACGACTGTAATCGCATATATCTGTCTATGTCTATCTCTCTATGTCTAAACAAATATCATCACAATAATTATGGTGTATAGATCACGAGCCCAAACCCTCTCTCACCATAGAGATCTCTCTATATCTCACTAATGGGCATATCCTCCCATTTTTTTTCATTTTCCGTTGTAATGTATGTTGGTTGGGTTCTCCGTGTTTTATTTCAATCAAAAAAGAACTATTATGAACGAATTTTATACTATGCTCTTTTCTATAGTTTCTATGATCCCATGAGCAACCACGAGTTTGGTTCTCTAATCTTTGTTGTGTAATTCCTAATTACACCATACATGTATCCATGTATCACGATTCTTTTTAGTTCATCCTTTTTTATGATTGTAGAATAACCATTCTACAACTCGACTCATCTAATATATTTTTTTTTGATTTATGTGTGAATATTCCATGAATTTTCTCACATATACTTACCCTTTAGCAATGAGATCAACCTCTACCAAAAGGATTAGTATGATTTTTGATTCAGTGTGGTTAAATGTCCATATTTATAAAATGTTATAAAACTTGTACTTTTGTTCTTGGTTCTTGCTCTTTAACAACATTACTATTTTATTTAGGAGTGGTCAATACATTTCAAAAAATCATTTATTATTTCATTTTTATTTTTTGTATAAACATTTTTTTGTTAATTGTATTTGATTAGTCGCTATAATTTAGTTTATTGGGATTATACGCAGGATTTAGACATCAGACTTTATCATAGTCCCATCAGCGGAAAGAAAAAAAGAGAATCACCAGGGTTTGAGCAATTCCTTGCTTATCATGGTGTTTATCATTACCTAAAGAAGTGAGAGAACAAGCTTTTATCTATTTATTATTTCGGCTCTTATTTGTGTATATATAGTTGGAATGACTGGTTTATTATTGTCAAGTTTAATTGTTGCTAATCAAATGTCGTATGGAAGAGCAACAAAGGACTGAACGGTAAGGTGTTTTTGATCATGATTTTTCCTGAGACAAATTGTGTTACTATCAAATAGATGATTTTTCCCAAAAATCTCATTTATAAAGTTAATGATGTGAAATTTTTACAAAGTTACCACTTATGATGTTAAATTTTCCAGGTGAGAAGGTTTTGGGTTGGCATGTAATCCACTCACCCCACCCCTATGTTACCATTTTCCTTTTGCTTTTAGCTTATTTTGAGCAATTTTTGGGCATTTTTTGTTTTAAGTTATAGGAATGTATTAACAAAAAAAATATTCATCTGGTTATAGGTTTAAGGTGTTAGATTATAGAAATGACATTCATTGATTGTTATCTGTTATTTTAGCATGCTTATTGAAGATTGTTACAAATTAATTATTTTGTCTATCATCTGTATTTAACATTCAAATCTTAAAATGTAATTTCTAGGACTTTGACCTGTTACCTTAAGTTTTTTGATTTTGTTTGTTATCTGTTATTAATTTTTCAAAATACTTACCGTAACAAAGGATATATTTGAACACTAAGAGATTAGACATGCCGGTATGCTTTATTCCTATTTAGTTTAATGGTTCTTTTTAGTATTTCAAATAATCAAATATCTATGCATCTTTATGTGAGTGGTTAACAACAAAATAATAATAATTTTGGGGTTAAGTTTACTGCAAAACATTTTAATTCGTTTGCTTAACTAAAGTTTGTGAGTTTGAACATCCTTTCAATTTTATTATGTCATAGATATTGAAAATATGATTTTAAACATTATAGGTAAAAGAAGAAAGTGAAACATATTTTGCTAAGATTTTTTTTTAAGTTTTAAACGAAAATCATATCTTTCAATAGACTTCAATTGGTGTGCAGTCATCATCACGCTTCGAACTTTACTCCAAGTCCAAACAAACATTCTCTCAAAATCATAGTACGTGCAGTCTCTTTTTATTTTCTATATTTGTTAAAATATGGATCATGATTATGTTTTTTTTTTTTTTATCAAACTGTTGATTTAATTTTCTATTATTTATTCATGTTTTGTAATTTTGTACCAAACTAATCTAATGATTTTATAAAGTTAAATTAACAAAGTTCATACTTATATTATGTATTTATTTCTTTCAACAACATTGTTAACTTTTTATAATCTCAACATTCTCATTAATAAAAATAAATATTATGTATTACAAAAAAAATGAAAAATATTATCATAATATATGATTACATATCACGAGTATGATATAACTTACATTTAATTATAACATGTTAAATGGTTGAAATAAATATATTATTTAAAAATGGTTTCACCTAACCTTGAACAAATGGTTTAATATAATGGTTTAATCTTATATGAATAAACATATATCTTATTTCATTGTGGTTTTTTGGAAAGGGTCTCCCCTACATTACGCTCACATCGTGACTAATCTATCGTGCAAACAATAGGACATGCCTCATGTTCCGGAGTCACCGCAATTGGACCTTCATGATAACAGAAGTAAATACCAACAACCAAATTAGAACTCAAGTACATAAAATATTTGCTCATGGGTGGTGGTATCCTTTTTCTGTGAATTCTTTTTTATGAATATGGATCCCCTAAAACACTCATGTCGTACTTATTGTGATTTCTTCTTGTGAACATGGATTCCTATTGTGAATATGAATTATTATTGTGAATATGGAAAATGCAAATGACCACATTGCCAACAAGGACACCACCAAGTCTGCTTATGACATGAAGATCAATCAAACACTTTGGTGATATGGTCGTCTACTCTGCCCTAGCGGCGAATCATGAATGGGTGTAGCTAGAAACCATAGGTGAGGATGTTAACCCCGTATAAATCTATACATATGTATCTCACTATGTAGATTAGCGGTTATAGTAGTGTGGGTATGTTAAGTGTCTAGACTCAACTAATTGTGATTAAGTCACTAGGCATAATGAATTTCAGAGTATACAGTTTATAAAAATTGAGTATGCTTAGTATGTATGTAAAAGTGTAATGTACTCGCTTTTATAAAGATGTATGTTTTAAAGTAATAAACATATGTACATGTATAAACATTATGTATTTAAACATATAAATAAACATATATAGTAATAGTTTGAATCCTTGAAATACTACAAAGTTTTATGACATACTTTTTATGATATATAATGTCACATAAAAATCATATATTGTTGTGTGGACTAGTTATTTCACGATAAAATAACGATAATACGTATATGAAAAGTTTATACTACATTATTTGTAACAATATGTTCAATTGTTAAATAACATTTTTATAAAGTAGATTTATTATATTTTTACATAAAACATAATATATTTGTATAAACAAAGTATATATAGACACATGTATTAAAAGTTTGAAGATCGAGATTTATGTTGTTAAAAATAACCAAGTGAGGGGTTGTTTTGTTTAAAATACACCAAGGTTTTGGGGAAAGGGCTTATTTTAAAAAGAATATTGCAGCAAGGGGTCATTTGGTTATTTTATCGAAGTTGAAAGAATTCTAGGGTTTTTATTTGCCCTTGTCACTGATCGATCGGGCAATGGGAAAACAATAGGAACGAACGAAACAGATGGATGAAGACGTGAGAAGGAAAGCACAAAGTGGCGGCGCTGCATCCGGGCCCTTGCTCGTTTCAGGTCACGCTGAGGACCGAAGGAAGAAAAAGGTCGCAGGCGGCGAGGTCTCTTTCGATCGATCGCGAAGAGGGATCGTCTCCGGGGTTCAACGAGGCCAAAGGGGAGGAAGGGAGAAGCAGCGAAGCTGCGTTCTTCTCATCCGGTACGAGGTGCGAAGTCCGGGCGTTGCAAGCAGCAATAGCATCGAAGACGAGACCCTCGGAGGTCTGTGGTCAATGAGAATATAAGAGAAAGAACGCGAGGGGAAAGGGGTCTCCGGTCTTTGGTCGGTCGCGAAGGGGAAATGAAGGCATAACCGAAAAGAAGTTTTTGATGGGGCAAGGTAAGAAGCGACTTGCTTCATCTTTTTTTTTTTTTTTTTTTTTTCTGATTTGGCATCCAACCCAAAGGATGATGATGCAGGTAGAAAAGTCGATCAAAAGGGGGGGGGGGGGGTGTTTGTTTGATTTCTTTTAACAGGAAAAGATAGAGGGAAGAGGGAAAGGTTGTTACTGTCGTTGATCAAGGGAGGACCATTTGTGCTCTTGTTGTTGAGGAAAGAAGAAAGACGAAGAAGAGGTGGAGGTTTCTTTGCTTGTACTGAATAAGAAGGAGGGGGGAACAAGAACCGAAATTAGGTGGATGTTTGGGTTTGATTTTTTTTCTACAGAAAAAAATGAAGAGCGAATGATGATGATCTTTCTGCTCGCAATCGGTGTGAAGAAGAAGAAAACGGTGCTGGTACAATGAATACTCTGATTATTGTTTAGTTAAACCTGTGGGTTTTCCTTTGGCAGATGAACACTCGATATCTTTATAATTAATTTATTGGTAAGAAGTGTAAGAGCATCCATAGTAGTAGATTATACTCCTTTCAATTAGCCTTGCAAGTGTGATGGAGTTGCCACATATGTTCTCACATTACACATGTTCTCACATTTCACATTACATATGTTCTCACATTGCAAATATAGAAAGGCTTGCAACTTATTATTTATGAATATTTTAATATTAACCACACAACTTATATTTACATAATTAAATATTAATATTAAATGGAACACATTTACTATATAGTTAACACACTGTATCTAAATATAAATTACATTCAACGTTTTAACTATCTTAAATGCTTAATATTTAGATTCAGTAATATATATATATATATATATATATATATATATAATTGTGGAGGTATTGATGGGGTCCACTTTTGAAAGAATAGTGTAATTGTAGTGGTGTGATGTGGCACACTTGAAACATGTGTGATATTGCACTCATATGGATATCCTAAGTCTTAATTTGTTTGGGTGTAAATTGTTTGGAAAAAGTGTGTGTGATGCTCCATATCTTTATAAATTAATTTATTGGTAAGAAGTGTAAGTCTTAATTTTTTTGGCTGTAAATTGTTTGGAAAAGTTGTGTGTGATGCTCCATATCTTTATAAATTAATTTATTGGTAAGAAGTGTATGACATTGTTTGATAGTTGTTGACTGGGAAAACGCTGTATGAGAAAGTTTTCTGATTAGGAAAGAAATCATGCTGTTTGATTGTACATCTGACTAGGGGTGTGCACGGTGCGGTTTAGAGTCAAAACCGCAAACCGCACCGCATATGCGGTTTGAATATTTTAGAACCGCAAACCGCACCACAGATGTTCAAAACCGCGTTATGCGGTGCGATTTGATGTGGGCAGTTTATGCGGTTTGGTTGTGGTTTGTGCGGTTTTTAATAAATTGATTCATGTTTCTATAGTTTTGTAAGTATCATTGTTATTGCTTTATATTGCCGTTATAGTCATTATATTCTTGTAAACCATGGGATCTTGATCCAATAATGATTTAATGTTACGTTATAGATATGTGGTTATTGAAAGAAATATATTTATATACATCGTTTCTAAATCGCGATTTGAAGTTATAACAAAGTAATGAAAAAAAAGTATATATATATATATATATATATATATATATATATATATATATATATATATATATATATATATATATATATATATATATATATATACACTAGCCGTTTACCCACGCTAAGCGCCGGGCGGCACAAAGTTTCTTTCGAAAGATAGTTTTAATGTGATGATTACTTTCCTTTACACGTGAGTTATTCATTGCGGCCATTTGGTAGACTATTTTGTGTCGAATAGTTCATTTCAACATATAGTTTCTTGCTAGGTGCATAGTCATAAAATACGACAAAAGTTGAGTCTACATCTCAAATAATTCATCTGATAGTTCATACTTGATTTTACAATATATAAATGACAACAATCTGCAACCATATAGCTTTCTACATTTATAGCATGTCCAATATGTAAGCTCCACCAATCTGCAATCATGTTGTTTCATCTGCTAGCCCTGCATTAAATATCAAATAAACATCTAAGATACATATTTGAATAAATTGTAAAATAATAAGTTGTTGATTGTACCTTGTTAATCACATAACACTTCTTTGTACACAACGTTTGATGTGTAGATTCCATCATTATCAAACGTTTTTTCCGGCTTTACTAATACCTTGGTATTGACACGTGATATTCCTCTGGACAACTCCACATAAAGCTGGCCATGTGAGAATACCGATTCTGGTAGATAAACACCCACATTTGGAATTGTTTGTCCTTGAGCTTTATTGATTGTCATAGAGAAACTAAGCTGAATTGGAAACTGCTTTCTCTTAAGTTTGAATGGGAACATCTCATCGTCAGACGGACATAGAGGAATTCTTGGTAAAAACACTCTTTTTCCAGCATGTTGGCTAACAGCTATCTCTACATCAATGACATTTTGTTGGAAAGCTCGACATATCAATCTGGTGCCATTACATAACCCATTTGAAGGATCGATATTTCGCAAAAGTATTATAGGGCACCCAGTTTTAAGCGAAGATAATGCGGGGGTACACCGCTAACATTTAGCGAGTTCAAGTACTCCATCGGATATAAGTTATTTTTGTCATCTTCCGCTTCATCAAAACTATAGTAAACTTTTTGCTCGCCAGAAAATCGTTCGATCAACTTATTATTAATCTCATCAACACTTTCATTTTTAGTTAACAATATCGCCCTCGAAATGATAAATTTTGAATCGGCGCCGTTGGATTCCAAAGAAGGAAATATTGCATCAATCAGAGCGTCCACTGATTTAGTTTTATCAGTGTACCGAATGGACATGTTATCAGGTATACGAATATAGGACTCGTCCAATGTTTCCTCCTTTCCATCACCAACTCGTAATAAAAAATCAGAAAACCATGGGTCATTTACCGCTCTCATGTTGATACTTAATCGAAGCCTTTTAACTGAAGCCCATAGAGGTGACATTCGTAAGCTAGAGTCGACAATTTGTGCTCAAGCGCCACGTCTCACGACCGGCAACACTTGTCTAAAGTCACCTCCCATAACCATTATCTTTCCATCGAAAGGGAGCTTCTCATCTGTGATGTCTTGCATTGTGCGATCAACTGCTTCTACTGCCTGCCTCTTAGCCATTGCTGCTTCATCCCATATGATTACCTTTGCCTCGCGAAGTATCTGAACCTTCCCACTTTGTTTACTGATCTTGCACATCGAGTTATTATCAAGATTGAGAGGAATTCCAAATCGTGAATGAGCTGTTCTCCCTCGTGGCATGTTGTTAGCCGCACCACTTGACGTGGCAGTTGCAAGTGCAATAAGACCACGGGCACGAATATTAGCCAACAAAGCTTTGTACAAAAATGTCTTTCCAGTTCCACCGGGACCATCTATGAAGAAGACAGCCGAAATATTTTGATCCACATGCCTCATTATCTCATCATATGCATGTTGGATACAGTGTCTAAGTCCATAACTTTATTTGGTATGAACTTGACCCGACCCGGCATGGTCCATTTGGGTTGCATGGCATTGCAATACTTGGATAGACTAAATGAGAGAATAAGGTACTTATGATTATTAATATATTATAAGTTCTAATATATTAATAATAGTATTATTTAATTAGTATTTGATCAAGTATTAATCTAGTATTAATTTGGTGATCAAAGTGAAACTAATTAAATATGTATGGGTTGATTATGACAATCATAAATTCTTTTATGGTGGATTAATGATCCATGGTTTATGGGTTATGGATGTAACCATTTGGAGCTCCATGGATAGTCCATGGGAGTTACAAACCCATGGGTCATGAGAAATGAAGAGTCATGATAATTATGGGTCTTCTTAATGAAACCCTAATTGTGACACCACTATAAAAGGAACCCTTTGGCTAGTAAAATCGGACCTAAGAGGTTACTAGAGAGGGCATAACCGATTTTGAGTGCTACAAGTATTCTCTCAAGTTATTCCAAGTTTTGTGGTGTTGTGTGAAGCATTTGAGGCACAACATTTGGGTGCTAGGCTCACAAAGTCTTGAAGGAATCCAAGCAACAACAAGGTATGTATTTCTACTAGTTTTATGTTTTATGTAATCCCCATGCCATGCTAGTTAGGAAATAACCTTGAAAAAGAAATTTGCATGTATATAGAGAAAACATAGATTCAAGGTTATTAGGGTTGCATGTACACTTAGGAAGTGTTAGAATGCTCAAAACCCATCAGTGGTATCAGAGCCTAGGATTGTTTTCTGTATACTTGATGCAAAACTGCTTGAAAAACGAAAATTCTGCATTCTGACGACTGTACTCGCCGAGTCCATGGGGAGGACTCGTCGAGTCCATGAACAAATTCATCCTACTCGCCGAGTAGGATAATGCACTCGCCGAGTAGGATCGAGCTGGGCAGATTTTTCGAGTTTTTGTTGCTGGAAATGGATTAGAATCATTATCCCAATCTGTTTTGGACTTGTAAAATCTGTTTTTCAAAATGATAATGATTATGTTAATCCATTTTACATGACTTTTAACAATTTCAAAGTATTATATATGTTTATATGATTTCTTGAAATTGCTTGACATGAATTTGTGTTCTTATGAGTTTTAGAAGATCATAGGAATTATGTGTAACCACCATGTGTGTTTAATTCTTGATCTTAATTGTATTGATGGTGTCCATAACTTGTCCTCAAGTTATGGATAACCAAAGGTCACTTCTTTAATTTGTGTTTAAAGAACTAAAGAGGTTTCATAAAATGAAGAGTCTTCATTTTTATGAACCAATAAAACTCATAAGTTACAAAATTGAAGAGACTTGGAATAGTTTCAATTCTTGCCCTCAAGTTTGGAATTTGAAAAGTCTTACACTTTAATTCCAAATTATACCTTAGATTTTTAAAAGGTTTAAAAATCAACCCTTATACTATTATTATAATTTTATTATATAGATATGTATAAGAATATGTCGTTCTTACCGTTAGTAGGCCTCATTCACGAAGCCGGTCTATAAGGGGGGTATAAGGTTGTTGCCTATAAAATGGTGACTTAATGGGTGTCCACTCTCACCCACCGCTTCCTTGATCGGTGGAGGGTCGTTAGCCGAACGGGTAGGATACGACTTTAAATTCTCATTAAAAGTATAATGAATTATAAAGTAACTATACATTATAAATTCCCAATCTTAGTTACTTTAGGAAAATGTGAAATTGGTGCTAGCCCATAAAATTACACTTTGTACCTTACCAAGTCGTTAGTGGAGCGTGCGTGGTTAACCGGCACACTAACATGGACTAGTAAGAGTGGCAAAGGGTAACTTGACTTTATTATAGATCGGTGGAGCGTGTGTGGTTAACCGGCACATCGATTAGGTAAT